TGAATGAATTAAAGATCAAGATTGTCAGAAGTAAAAGGAAGGAATATAAAGTTGGTTTGTTCGACCAAGGTTAAAATAAGACACGTTTCTATAAGACTCTGGTAACCCTTTACAGACTTTTTGCTGACACCAGGACTGAAAAGTTAATGATTTATGGATTTGCAAATAGATAAGGGATGGGTTATGGAAAGAAGAGATACTTGTTTGTAACCTTATAGAGGGTGAAGAGTTATCACGTTTGTTTATAACTGTTGTGATGAAAATCAGAAGCCACTTCATTATACATTTCTTTTTCTCTATTTCACTTTCTTCTTTTTCTTTCTTTACACTTTTTATTCTTCCTCTCTGCTTCTCTTTCTTTCACTGAGTTTAGTTTGTATTTCCTTTCACTGTTGTAATAAACATTTTCAATAACAATTATATTGAAACAAGAGGAACGGCAGTGTTGGGTTCTGTAATAGTCTGTGTCTGGCCATGGAGCTGAAACAGAGTAGGCAAAATGGTGGCCCCTGAATAATAAAATCACTAAAAAGAAAGGCTATCAAAAGCTCTTGACAGCAACAGCATAAAACCTATCACACATCTGTGGATCATACAGCTGGTAGCACCATCTTGGCTTCTGGATTTAAAGGTACCTTCCAAGGAGCACAGGTCTAACGCTCTCTAGTGACGGCGCTAGTCCTCTTCTCTGAACACATACTGTATCTAGCACGCTGTCAAAAGTGGAGAATAATCTCAAAGAAGAGAGAAAGAGAGGGAGAGAAAACAGCCATGTTATGAAATGAGAAAGAGAAGTGTTGCACGCTCTTAGGGCTCTGCTTTATTTCTACCCCAGCTGCTTCTTCGGGGTCTCCAGGGTGGAGGCGGTGGCCCTTCTGGAGCAGAATGAAAGCTACGGCAACATGTTGCTACGTCCCGGAAGAGACGGCAAAAGTTTCTCGCTGACCACTCGGCAGAATGTGGATGGGTGAGTGGGCAGGACAAGTGTCTGGCTTGGGGATGGGTGGAATCCTGCATCTCGCAGGTTTGTTTTCTTCTTGGGCTGTTAGCTCTCCTACTCATTTCCCCACATTTATTTTTTTATTACATTTTTACACCACCCGACTCCCAGCAACTCTGGGCAGTTCGTAGACAAAAACACAGAGAACAATAAAATACTACAATGTGCAAAAACAAGGAATTTTCTGTCTTGCAAGATCCTGTTAATATAATAAAGATAGAGCTGGTATTCCTGGTTTTGCTTCTCGTCTGGACTACCTCGAAGGGCTGAGATCAATCTTGCAAGACTGAAAGTCTTTCTCCCCTCCTCTCCTTTTGCTCTCTGAAAAACTCGGGAGGGTCCCTTCTGAGATGATTCCCACATCCCCTTTTCCTTCTGTGGGCTGAGACACCTTTTACACGCCGGTTGTCCCGTCTGCGGCTCTTCCTCCTGTCTCCCAAGGTCATTCCCACAGACCATGATAGCCAGGCAGCATGAAAATTGCATAAATAAATACAAGTCAATAAATAAATCCAGCTTTTTAATATGCTTGAATGTCAGGAGCTCGAATTTTGGATTGCCAACAATATACCTTGCCTGCTGACCAGGGAACCCCTGAATGAAATCACGCCCAGGGACCAGAATTAGGGGAAGACAGAGCTAGAATTCTGTTTTGTGCTCTTTTGCAGAACCGTGAGTATCAAGCACTATAAAATCAACCCTGTTGGTGGAGGATACATCATTGTTATGGAAAAGCCGGTAAGAGAGCCAAGGATAAGGAGGTATAGTAGGGTGATGAAGGCAGCCCAGGTTTTTAAGGAGAAATGATGAAAGGTGGTTCCATTACCCCAAATCCTGAAGAAAGAGTAGACCATGAATAGACATCTTTTCCAAGTTATTCATTTATTTTTATTTTTTTTAAATGGGCAATCTCCCCAGATTGCCAGTTCTGGGGACAAAAATGTCAAAATCTTGCATGCTGTCATCTGAAACCTTGCAAGATATGGGGGACAAAAATGTCAAAATCTTGCATGCTGTCATCTGAAACCTTGCAAGATATGGGGGACAAAAATGTCAAAATCTTGCATGCTGTCATCTGAAACCTTGCAAGATATGACAATGATGTATCCTCCACCAACAGGGTTGATTTTATAGCGCTTGATACTCACGGTTCTGCAAAAGAGCACAAAACAGAATTCTAGCTCTGTCTTCTTTAAAAATCACATGCCTTGGGTGAACACAGTTATCTGCTTCAGAGGGTATTATTATTATTATTATTATTAATAATAATAATAATAATAATACCCTCTGAAGCAGATAACTGTGTTCACCCAAGGCATGTGATTTTTTTTTTTTCATAAATGGAACAGAAAGAACTTGGGATTTAGAGAGATCACCAACTTGATCTAAAAGGTTGTGTAAATTCAGATGCAAAGTATGTCACTGAAGTGGTCAAGAGTGTTATGTGAGCTAAAATGGGGCTGGATGGCCCCTGCCCTATGGAACATTCTCCCCCCAAAGTCAGGTTAGCTCCATCCGCTTTATCAGTCTGGAAGTCCCTCAAGACCTGGTTAGGCCATCAGGCTCGGGGTTCCCAAGAAACTGGAGACGTTCTTAGATGGCCCTGTTGTGGTTGATCTTGTACTCTCTCTGTGGGGTTGGTATATTTTAAATTTTTATAGCGTTTTTTCCATTTTTAATAATGACTTTTATATTTTATGATTTTTTAAATATATTTATTTGCTTTTACTGGTGGTTGTATGCCGCCCAGAGTCGCTTCTTGTGAGATGGGTGGCCACATAAATGTGGCTTAATAAAGAAGTAAATAATAAAGAAACAGTGAATGGGTTCTGCAGCTGTGCACCAGGTCTGTGCAGTGTTTCAAGTACAATTCCCAAAAGGTACAGTAGAGAGAAAGGGTTACAACTCTTGAAAGCAGCCGTGCCCTGTCTCAGGATGATGCAGCTGCTTTTAAGAGTCGGCTGTATTACAATAGGATAGAAATGAAATAAATAATCAAATGAACAAACCAATAGATAGCACATTTAGCCAAGTTTTAACTTAAGTAAGATTTAGCGCCTGCTTTCATGCAACATGCTAAGCTGCGCTCATGTTATCATTGATTTGGGTTATTTTAGAGTGGGGAGCTTCACATGTTGTTCAAACCTAGCTCATTTTGGAAGTTTATAGGTAGTCCTTGACTTTTGACCATTTGTTTAACAACCGTACAGTTGTGATGGCACTGAAAGAAGTGACTTATGACCAGTCCTTGCACTTATGACCATCAGAGTGTCCCCAAGGTCACATGATCAAAATTTGGGCGCGTGGCAACCAGCATGTATTTACGACGGTTGCAGTATCCCAGGTCATGTGATTGCCATTTGCCACCTTCCCAGCCAGCTTCCGACAAGCAGTCAATGGGGGAAGCCAGATTCGCTTAATGACCAGGTGATTCACTTAACAACTGCAAGAAAAAAGTTTGTAAAATTGGGCACAACTCACTTAACAACCACATCACTTAGTGACAGAAGTTCTGATCCCAGTTGTGGTTGTAAGTCGAGGACTACCTGTATAGTTAAAATATGGTTCAGGTTCATTGTGTTTATGCAGCCAATATAAAGCAGTCCACGTATGCAATTTGTGGGAGGGAGACTCTGCTCATAAGTCATCGGGATTTAAGCAGTGCCCCCATTGATAAAATACATGCCAATATTTATTTCTTTATTTACTCATCACATTCCTATAGCCAGCAATACCAGCAAGGTCAGGAAAGCTTGCAGAAGTCAAAGGAAATGTCTTTTCTTCTGCGTAATGAAGGAACGGGTTGTGTCCGGGTGTGCGTTTATGTCCTCCCCTTGGCTTGCACCTGTGCGTGCCTGTTTGCATATGTGGCATACATTTCTTTCCTCGCCAGAATTACTGCTCCTCGCTCATGGCCGTGCTGGACTTCTTCATCACCAAGACCAATGGAATCCTCGTGCCGCTGAGCACTGAGATGATCTACGCCATGGCTCTGGGTGGGTCTCCCCCACATCTGGAAGTGTTTGGGTCGCTGGGGAGGAAACGGAAGGAATTAACCAGTCCAGTCCAGTCCCTTCCTACAGTCTCTACTGAGTTATTTTAATTCTCAAATTAATATCCCTCCATTCATATAGGAGCTCAAGGCCACGTATTCAGCACTTCCTTTTCTAATTTTTCCCCATAACAACAATCCTGTGAGGGGCTGAGAGGGATTGACTGGCCCAAAGTCAGCCAATGAGCTTCTGTGACTGAGAGGGGACTAGAAGTCAGGTCTTCTCACTCCTAGTCCAGCCCCTTCCCCACTACTCCGCCTCAAAACACGTGAGACCTTTAGAATCAAGCTCAAGTCCAACATCCCATTTGCCATTGAGATGAATAAACATCATGAGGACAGAATGAAAGCAACATCGCACTCTCATGTACAGGTCATCCTCATTTATCAACTGCCTCCTTTAGTGACTGTTCGCAGTTACGACAGTGATGAAAAAGTAACTTTGCAACCCATCCTCGCATTTACGACCTCTGTGGGTCTGTAAAGCAAAGGAAAGCTGAAGTCAGATCGTAGGCACAAGGGCGGTTTCACTTAGCAACTACTTCACTTAACGACTCAGTTGCCGGTCCTAAACGAGGATGACCTGTATAAGGAGAAGCTGCCTCTAAACATGGAGGCTCTACGGAACCATGTGTCCTAACAACCCTTAGCAAACGTCCGGGATTGCTATGCCGTTCAGATGTTCTTTCTCTTTTCTTAGCAAGAAAAGAAGTTCAGCACCAACAAATCAGTCAAGGAAGACCATGGCTTGGAGATACTACATGGTCTTTCTGCCTCCTCCATCTTGATCTCCTCAAACAGATCGTCCTCCAGGTCTTCTACTATGACTTGTTTGTTTTGCAGAGGTCATGGAGACGGATCAAGAAAGCGAAAGGAGCATCTCGGTGCCTGATGCCCCCCAACCACCTTCTAAAGGTACTTGGGTGCTAATTATGAGGCTCAGTTCTGGATCTAATCTGGATCATGAGATGCAGCTTCCCTTTTCCACCTTCTACTTCCAACTTCAAATTTGCATGCTAATGCTATGACACAACCCTCAATCCATGGCTAATAAATGATCAAGGTTTCTTTATCAAACTTGGAAAAAAATCTTTCTCAGTAAAGCAACTATTTGTGGAATCAGTCAGAGGTCCGGGTATCTCCCCAAATGTCACAGTTTGCAAAGTAAAATTCTTCTGCAAACCATGTCATTTTTCTAGACCTCAGTGGGGCGAACCATTTCCCTGATCGCTGTTTTTCTCTGCCCCTTTGTAAGTTGATTCCTACCTTCTGTGGAGTTAATTCACGATGCCAGCATAAAAACGAAGTAAATCAACCTTACTTTTCCCTTTTCACGTCCACTGCTTTCAAAGATCATCTTGAAAATCTCGATTCCAAAGGTTGTGGACTCTGCTCCCTTATTCCACGTGATTGCAGAGCAATTGAGTGGTGTTTACGGTTGGCACGCAGCTGGCACACAGAGGCAGGGGCATCTTCTGGCTCATTTGGCAGATATTTTCAAAAAAGTTTTTTTGCCGAGGGCCAGCTGTGCAAGTATATTTTCTTACCTTGCTCAGAAAGTTTCTCCAACAGTGTCACAGAACTTTCTTTGCCAAGGGCTAACTGCCCACACGCATCTTCTCAAGGGGCATGGCGAGTAGAAGGAGGGTAAGAGAGTTCATGGACTGGTCAGCTTGGCTGAAATCTGCCCACTGTCTGGACAAAGTCTCGTGAACGCTATTCAGAACCTTAACAGTGGTATAGAGGAAGCAGGCCAAACTATTTTCGTTTCATGTTTGAGAGTCACAACATGAGTAACAGTTGGGCTGAGTTGGAGAGATTCGCCTGGAAAGGGCCTGAGATGTGAACAGAAGAAAGGAGAATCCTGGAAACTTCAGAATGTGGAATTCTGCACTTTAACCCAACTTTCACGGTTCGATGACTGGAAATGAAGAAATACAGGTCTACCTAGTCAGCCTTTCCAAACCTGTGTGTTAATCTTGGTGGATCAAAAGATTCATCACCACCAGCAAGTGTGATGAAGGCTCACAGGTGCTATAAACCGCTATCCATAATCTCGGGTTCAAAAACTGGCTTCCAAGGATTTTTCGGGCCACCCTCTGTGGAGCAGATGGGAGAAGGGTTCGGATGAGGTCTTAATGGGTGACGCCAAGACCCATCCTCCCTTTGCCACCTGGGATCAATGAGGAGTCTCCAGGAAGCTCCTGGGGATGGGATGAAAGCAATGGGGCTCTCTAATCTTTAGGGATAGACTGCCTCTGGATAAGGAGGTTCCATTTAGCCCTGAGAACTCACAGCCATTGGAAACGTCTTCTGGGATCTGCAATTAACTTTCCATCTGAATTACGCCTTTCCATTTGCGTGCAGGTGATCTCATGGAAAAAAAGAGTGACTTCTCCCCAAATTGTCGACCATCCCCTCTTCCTCCTCTTCCACCAATCGTGCCCATCCCGCCTCCACGCCAGGCATCAGCACCCCTACCTGTGAATGTGTACGAGAAGGAAGATCCTCCACAGAAGACGTATATGAACGAAGAACGTAAGTTGAGAATGGTGGATCACGTGAATGGTATTACAGTCCCCTGTTGACCAACAGCCCTGACAGGTAGGCCAGGCTACGAGAGAGAGAGAGAGAGAGAGAGAGAGATTTTAGAACACAGCTGTTTGCAAGGGGTGTAAAAACAAGTCAAAATGGTAGTCATAACTGTGAAATTTAAGCACTACCCCAACATAATTCATTGGTATTTCAAAGGCTGTTTCCTGCCCGTATGGGCAGATCAGTGGTCTGACTTTGGATTACAGGTAGGTCACAATTAGTGTGAATAATGCAATATTCCAGTGTTCCTCAACCTTGGCCACTTTAAGAGGTGTGGACTTCAACTCCCATGCTGGCTGGGGAATT